TTCAGTGCCATTCGAACAGAATTGGATATTTTTACAATGCCTTTCAACATAAATTGTGAAGCAGTGAGGTCAGATTTGCAGCTTGAATTAATTGAGTTGCAATCTAACAGTCATCTCAAGCAGTTGTTTGTAAATATGCCAAAGTTAGAGTTTTACAAATCGTTATTGAAAGTAAGTTTCTGAAATTTAATATCTCACTCCCAGAAAATCAGTACTATGTTTGCCTCATCATATATATGTGAACAAGTGTTTTCAACTATGAACTCTAGAAAGAATTATTTTAGAAGTAAAAACTGACAAATGAGCATTTAGCTTCGTTCCTTAGAATTAGTACATCTCACTTCGTCTCATTCGTCAGTTCATCTCATTAACATATTTAAATTATACTACTTGTATATTGTTTTTAAAATTTTATAAAAATTTATCTTGGCCCGCCAAACTTTTTATTTTCGATGTTTGGCCTGCAACCAAAAACGTTTGCCCATCCCTAAATAATGATTCAGCCTCCAAAACTTTAAATAATGATTCAGCCTCCAAAACAGTATAGTAGTTAGGGGAGCCTACTGCGATTTCAAAGGGCTAGGGTTCGAATCCCTGAGAAAGCATGGATGTTTGTAAATGTATAATGTTTTTGTGGCATGGGGGCACTCTAAATATGGCAAGCCAAAAGCCCTCTCGATAGGTTGATGGTAGGGGAAGAAGGGTGGGAGAACCTCTGACTTGTTATCCTGGGATGATTTCCATCAAAATTAGGGGCAGAACTAAGTAAAGTATGGTGCTCAAGGCTCTTGCCAATGCCAGGTGCAATCTTGATTTCCTTCCACAATGTTGAATGTTTCGGTTTGAGATATTCATGGACTTGTTCTGATGTTAATGTTAGACAAGTGAGATAAGTCACAACACAACACAACACATTCATATATGTTATCTAAGGTTTGAATTAACTTTGCTTGGCTATTGCAGTGTAAATAAAAGCATTTTTGAAATTCTGTTAAATGAGGATTTTTAAATGTCAGATTACCAAATGTAGTTTTGAAGTTATTGCATTCCTCATACATATCAGAGAATTCAGGTAGGAAGATTGGGGAATGAGGTATATCAGGTGTTTTCAAATTTGCAACAAAAAATCATCAGCTCTTAGTTCTTTTTTCAAACTTCTGTTTGAATACTGAATAATGAGATTAAAAAGGCTTACCTGATTTGTCTCACAATGTGCTTCCAATTTTTCTTGCAAAGCATCACACTTTTCTCTAATTCATTGTCTTTAGCTTTTTCATAATATGCATTATGCAGTTCATTCAAATCTCAAAACAATGTTTTTAGGAAATCTAGCTTCTGTTGCAGTTCTACCATTACAACATCTTCTTTAGCAGCATCCTAAATGGCTAACATAAATCCGTCTTTCATACTTTCTGTCAACTTTTCTATATGAGTTGACTTTTAAGGTAGCTTTCCACCTATTCAAAGTAGTGAGCACCATTCTTCTCTCTGGCTCGAGAGAGAGCTTTATTATAATATCGAGACATATAATGTGACTAATAGCAAATGACTAAAAATTAGTTTTTTTTATAAGAAATTTAGAATATGTCACTAATGGCATTGTCTACAAAATACTGCTGTGAGCTACAAACAAACAGTAATCGAGCTATAAACAAACAGTAATTAAAACTACTTAAGGAATAATTGAGAAAGACAAGTGACTGCTATATCTTTAGAATTTTAACTGTCATTGCCAATTTTTATTTTTATTTATTTATTTATTTTTTTGAGGTTAACAAGTGTAATGATCTCCAGCAATGCTTCTGTTGCTATAAAGGTTGAAAGTTATTTTTTATATGACTAAATTTTGATGAAGGACATTAGAATGTTTGTTGGCTTGTTGGAAATTTAGAGCACTGCATGAATATGTAGCCAAAAATAAAAGAATTATAGCTAGTATTTAATTTAATATTAAGTTTGTAGGTGTCAGTAAATGCTGTCTTTCCTTCACCAATTAGTGGTTTGATTTAATTATAATTCTGAAATAGATTTTTAATCCAGTAATATGTCTCTTTATTTTTTTAATTAGTTATTATTATTTTTTTTTCATTCTCTGTGGGTCCTAAATTTCACTACAAAGCGCTTTCCTAAGTTCTAAATTTTCATTGTGCCTAAACTTTGGATCCCAGTGCTTTCCCTAAATCATAAAAAACTTCTCATCCCTTAATTTTGCAACTCGGTGCTTCCCTGAATTATACCATCCGGTTCCGACATATTCTGCCGCCGCTTCTGGGTTTATAGTGAATAACATGTCAGTTATTCTTAATTAAAATAGCACTAAATGTAATCCTTTGAGTTTCATTAACAAAATCTATTTTTAGCATATGAAAAGAAATTTTTGTTCCTCATCAATATTTCTTAGAGCATTTAAAAATCTATAATCATCGCCAAGCATAATATTAGCATAAAAGGTTGCCATACTCTTGTTATTCAGTTACTAATATAAAAAAAAAGTTTAGACATCACAGCATAAGTTATTACTGAAGCTGTCGTGTATCGTTCAGATTTTAACCTTTCTCCTGGCTCAAAAAGCAGCAACAAAACCAGTTTCAAGATCCTACAGAAAGTTTCTGAAGTTAGCTTAGCATGTTAAATGCTAAGCTTAATTTGTTTGGCATTCCAGGCACACTGCATTGTCATCAAATGGGAGGAAAAAATTATTAATCTTTCAGATTCTGGTCTCAAAGATCTGAAGGACTCAGATATGATTTAGATATTTCTTTTTTGGCTGCTTGTGGAAATCAATAAAATGGTATAGGAAATTAAGTTTTGAATTTTATTGCTGTTGTTGTAAAAGGTTTTTTTTATATGTCAAGAAATAACAAGCAATGAAATATTTGCTACAACATATTTAAAAAAAAAAAAAAAAATTGATTAAGACACTTATGCAGTTTAAGAAAGAAGATTTTATTGCAGAAAATTCTCGTGTAAATTCCAAAACTGGGAAGGATAGCATTCTTAAAATGAGAAGATATTTCACATTGAATTTTTACTGCACTGAATGTTGCAGCGAAAATTCTGAATTTTAGGCTCAAAAAGGGGAGAGGGAATGTAACAAAAAGGGTTGTAGGCTTTACCAATTATAATAAAATAAAACTGCACATTTGTTGAAGTTGTTTTAATAAGCTACATTAATTCTTTTCAAAATACTATATTCTTTTCCTGAAAGCAATGACTGAACAAAAACCGATGTTGCCTATATGAGATGTTTTATGCAAAAACCAGCATGTACGTTGCGCATAAGCCTAAATGTTACAGCTGCTAGGAGTCAGTGCACCAAAAATGGAAAATCTAAGGCCATAGCTTAGGAAACTGTGTGCCATTTAATGTGTTAAAAGGGTAGTTTGTTCCTTTTGTTATCCAGCCAAATCTCTGGATTCACCAGAATTAATAATTTGCATAATTTATTGATTAAATATATCCCAATATTCAGTGAATGTTGCAGCAAAAGTCCAATAATGTGACATTTTTTGTTTGCCTGTATAATCCATTTTAGATTAAAGTTTATACTGTCTAATTTTAACAACATCATAAATTATTTGTTAAATTTTAGAAAAAAAAAAAAAATGTAAGCATTTAATTCTTTGACATTTGTTCTTTGATCTGGACAAACCATAATATGAGCAATCCAATTAAACTGGAAGAGAAACATGCCAATGTAAAATTTAAAAGTAGGCAAAACAGCAGCCTTAGTTTGACATAGATTTTGATTAAAACTCTGTCAATTTTGAGGGCTATCAAACAGAGGTCTTCTTCTTCAAGAGCAAAAAATTTTGCAATATGTGAGAAGTAATGATTGTATTCATATCAAAAGCAATGGGCAAGGCAAATGAAAGCAAAGAATGTAATACCATCTGTCAAGGAAAATAGTAATGAAGCATGAAAAACTAAGATATTAGAATTTTAAGTATTAGGAAAGACTGGATTGCAATTAATATTAATTAACTATAGAAGATAAATTTTTGTGATTGTGGAAAAGCTTCAAGGGAAACTAGTTTAAAAACTATAGATGCTTTATGGATAATATTTGTGGAATTAAAGTCAAAATTATGATTAGTTATGAAAGATTTATTTGTTTTTTATTTTCAGACATAACATTTATGTTCCTTGAGGAAAAATTTTTAACATTCTTTAGTTTGGCCAATGTATTTCAAACCACATTGATAAGATGTGCTGCCAGTTTTGCAAGAATTATATTCAGAGATGGTATTTTTAAGAACCGAACAACAGATTTTGTTGGTAGGTAAGAACATGATCTGAAAGTTGAACTTCTATAAAATTCGAGCAATTTCACAAGTGGTAGTTGAATGAAATTGAATAATAACAACGTTATTTCTATCAGTGGAATGTTTTCTTTGATCATTAGAGTTTTATTCAAACTTTATACCAAACTAAGGTTGCTGTTTTGCCTAATTTTAAACATAATATGAGGTTTGTTCCAAAACGTTGTCAACGGATATCACTATTTCAAGTCTGAGTCATTAGAAGGCTTGGTGTGGGTTTTCATTTTGAAATTGCAGCCATCACATTCTGTATGCTATTTCCATTGCAAAGCTCACTACAATTTGACTTTTTTGGCAGTCAAACTGCTCTGTATTGGCTTTACACACATTATTAAATTCATATTACCAAAGCACAAATCAGGTCTTTATGGACAACAATCACTGAATCACTTACAGGAAATGGCAGCTCATGAATTTTAGTATGTACAGTGTTGCCACTTCAGTGAATTTTCGTAACAGCCTTCATATTAAAGGTAAATGTGATATTGATATAAATTTTATTCCTGCTGATAATTAAAAAAAATTTTTTTTTTTCCAATCTGATGATAATGAAATTTTTCTTTCAAATGGCCTATAAATATATAAATTTAAATGTTTTGATGTTTTTGCATGAACTGATTTTTTTTTTTTTTTTTCGGTAGAATTAATGCAAATATATTGTTTTCGCTATATCTTTAGCTCTGAAATGTCAGATTCTGGAGAAACCTATGATTCATCTGAATATAGCCAAAGTCAAACTGAAGTTGTTGATAATACAGCTTACTCAAAACACAGTGTTTTGGAAGATAAAAGTCCTGCAGATGAAAAAGTTGTTTTGCCTTTGATAACACTGCTTCAGTTGCGTGTATCTGAATCTAACAATACATCAGAGGAACTTATTGCTGAAAAATCCTCATCAAGTATCACCAGTAATATTAATTAAAGTTTACTTATTAAAGAAAATTTAGTATGAACAGAATTTATTTGCTCATTATTCTGAAACTTTAAAAATTATAATGTGTATGACTGTATGTATTGTAAACAGAATTATAAAATAATAGCTTTTCTGCAGAGTTTTCAAATTATGCTCTTCTTAATTGTTTTAATATATAAATAAAACATATTTCATAAATATATGTTTTTTATATTCTTAAATTAGTTTTGTAAATAATTTTGTTGTTGTTATTGATTATTTTGTACCATTAATCATGGAAAACTAAGATTCAGTTTTGCTTCATAATTGCCAGAGGCTAACTTTTTCCCCTAAAAAGAATTTTAAGCAATGCATTCTATAGTTGTTCTAATCCTTTAGAGTAGTGGTCTCAAACTCAAATTTCAAACTGCATGTAGGCTGAATACAGATCTAAAAGCAGCTGATGCCAAATTTTCTATTTTTTCTCCTTCCTTTTTTTTCTGTCTTACTGTTTTAATTTTTTTAATACCAAAATGAAAAGTTTTTTAAATAAAACAATTTTTTCCACTGATATCTAAATTAATTATTCATCAAAACATGTGTAAATAGTATTAATAATGATACAAAGGGAAAAATTCTAATTTTTTTTCCTGTTCGAAATCTGAAGGTTATGATATGTAAGAAATATCTGTTACACTTTGCAATTTGAACATATCGATAGCTAAATATAAAATTTTCAGACTGACATTTATTTCAAATAATTCTAATGTATTGAATTAACCACTAAATAACTCACTTTTATCTTAAACTAAAAACAATTAATTACAAACTTTTCAAATGGAACAAAACTTTAGAATAAATAATGAAGACTTATCTTTCTTTTACATATTAAAATTTTCTCTGACACATATAGAAAAAATATATTTATGTAAATAATTATAAACTTCTTTCTAACTACAACATTTCATTTCATTTTGATCATTACCATTTTTAATGGTAGTGAAAGTAATGCAAAATTAAACTCAAAATCATTAAAATCTGTAACTTGTCTTCAAATTTTTGTCATATTAATACTAATTAATTTATGTGAAATGTATTGGTGGGCTGCATAAAATTGCTTCAGGGGCCACTTGCAGTCTGTAGGCCACCAATTGCAGTCTGAGACCACTGCTTTAGAGAATATTATTTTGCTTCCACTGTGTGAACATGGTTGTAAGTGTGCTGTTGTTACTTAATATATTTCTCCAGTATACTTTTGCTTGTAGTACATTTTAAATTTCACATCTGTGCTTTTCAGATTACTTTTTTCGAACCTAAACAGCAGGTAGGGAAAAACTGTTGGTGCTGTATAAAAAAAAAAAAAAAGTGCCAAAATGTTTCTAACTTAATGATATGTATCAAAGCCAAAAAGATGTATTAAAAATAAAGGGTTAATACAGGAACTGTGATACATGTTTGTCCTGAATTTAGTACATAATTAGGATGAAAATATTGTGCAAGGAAAATAAAATCTGTTTTTGAAAATTTGTGGAATTTACTAAAAAATTTTCCAAATGTGTAATATTTTATTGAAATATAATTGATGTATGTATAAATAATTGGAATTACTAGCTTTGAAAAGAAAATCCCATAGCTTGAAATGTAGGCAAGAATGAATATATTTATAGTCTGTTACAATTAAAATATGCATTTCAAGGCCATAATGACTCGCTCCCACATTTATTATTGTAATGTTTATTGTCATCACTGCAGAGAGGGGATTTTAGCAAACTGAGAGATTTGACTATCTTTCACAGCAAATTTTATCATCATTACAAGGCAAGCCAGTAGGGGTAGGTATACATACTGAAGTAAATGTGCTAGATTATTCAGAACTAATAGAACAGACTTTAAAGAGGGGCAGAACACACTCAAATACTTTTCATTGTTGGATGTAGAGTCATACATTAAATGATTAAATTTTAAATATTGGGGGATACCTTCCCATTCCCCACACACGATATGCAGAGCCTGATAGTGAGTCTGCTTTCTCTTCATTCATATATTGATTTAATATAAATTTCTAATGAAGGTACATAATTTATGGATCTGTAGATATAGCCGTGAATTTTGTGATGTGCCCTGCAGTAAAAATTCATTATATGCCATTGAATTCTGAAGTCTGAAGCTCAAGGGTTCCTCTGAAAAAATGGTGAAAAGGTGATAAAGAAGCAAAGCCATTGTTTACCAGCTATAAGTTACTTGAATGATTTGAGAGAACTGCAAGGTTGCTTTTAAGTCAAGTCATTGAGTATGAAAGGCAATAAAGAGGTGAAACCATTGTTTCTAAGCTCTAAAATCCTAAATGGTTTGAGAGAACTGCAAGGCTGCTGTTAAGGAAAATCATTTAGCATAAAAGTACCTGAAAAACAAAGCTATGCTACAGCCAGTGGTATGTATAAAAATATATGAAGAAAATATAAAATATAAACACAGAAATAAAATGAATACATGAAGAATAATGATGGTGCATTTGAAGATCACATCTTTTATATGTGCTCTTGAAAGTGTCTTGTCTTTTGTTTTGAGAAAGATGGTTTGTGTGAGAAAATAGAAAGCACCATCAAGTACTAAATATGTATATAACCATGTATTCTGTGATGAAAAGCATTTGATATGATGTGTTAAGTTCATTCCATTACTTTTGAATTACCTTGCATGAATGCATGTATATGTAGGCAAATCAGAAACATGACTACTTCCTTTGATGGCAGTGGCTAGAGAAAATGTGATTGTGCCCCTGAAAAGTTTGAAGTCTTAAGACTGAAGAACAATACTAATCAGACTCACTCTATTGCTTCAAACTGCTCACTATTGAGAGTGCCTCTAATCCTTTCCGCTGTTGCAGCATTAGTGCTTTCAAGAGTCCCCATCCTGAATGTTTCACTTTAATTTTAAATTAAAAAAATTAAGTAACTTTCGTGAAATTGAAACTGTAATATGCTGCTGAATCTTTGGTGCCGTTTTGGCTGATAAATAAGCTCATGCCCCTGACTCTTATTTAAAATGAAAAAGGTTAAGTTTCAAGTTTAATAAAGCGTTATTCATTTTCCTTTGCATGATTTCTAAATTTCTTACTATTTTGTCTATAATTGATTAATTTTTCAGCAGCATATTGCACGGAATTAATACTGGGATATTTTTGTTTTAAAAAAATTGGATATTTTATATATATGTATATAAACATACATATATAAGGCTATATTATTTTTTATGATTAAGGATTATGTTGATCTATAAAAAGTGGTATTTTAAGGAAGACTGAATTTCACCTTGATGACCTTATGACTGAAATTCACCTGAAAACTGAATTTCACCTTAATGACCATTTTATAACTTAAAAACTACTAATTCTTAAAATTTTGTATCTATGTTGTATGTGATGTATCTAATTCTGTGTTATGACTGAATGATAAATGAAGCCAGCATTTTGAATTTATTATGAATAGCTGGAAAATGAATGTTGTTGTTCAATAATGAAAGGTATCCACGAGTTAATTTGGAAGCTGAAAGTATTTACATAGCATTCTGTAAATAATCTAGATAGCATTGAAAGTTTTAAAACTCATTTTGTTAAATTATTCTGCATTTTCGAATTTTCACGGATGTAAGTACACAATTTTTCAACTTTTCTTGTACTCTTTTAATTCCCAGTTGCAAAGATTTTTACTTTATTTTGTACTTAATTTCCAAAAGGCTTATAACTACTCAAATGAAGGCAGACTCTCATAGTATGTAAGCTAACTAAGAAATCTAATACTTAAGCTGAAATGCCATTCACAATTAACAAATATAGGGTAACGTAAAATATTACACTATGCTATGTTGTTGAAGGAAGTAATATTGGCTGTGCCAATCCCCGCATTATTCTGTTTATACATTCTTTTGTAATTTTTTTCCGTGTTCTTGCAGAATGCTGAAATTCTCTTTGATATAATTGTTTATTTATTTTATGCATTTTTCTTTATGTAATCATTTCATCATTTGTATCATTGAAGGAATCTTAAAAATACAGCAAAGCAGAGTTTCCTGTCTGCAAAGGAATTCAAATATTGAAACATTTCATACTAAAAATGTTATATTGTATATATTGAAGGATTGCCTGTGTGTCTTCCTCTCTCTGTGTTGACAGTGGTACTATAAAGATATTAATTTAGGAGCAAGTTTTTAATAGCAAAAAATAAATTTTGTATATTAAAAAAAATGTTTGGAATGAGTAAGATGTATAAAAATTCCTTGTGTTACACAAAAATGCCTTTGCCTTTGAGATTGTAAGGAAAAGATCTGAAAAGCAATTAATTAATTTATATGGAGTAGTATTTGCATATTTTTGTCATTCTTTTTATCTATGATAGATAAGGTTTGCCTTTTAAAGTGATTTGATGAATCCAGAATGATTTTGTTTTAAAACTTTATAAAAGTTATTTTCATTTAAAAAATTAGAAATTAAATATGATAATTCCATAATCTAGATTTGAAAACATTGATGTATATTATATATTTATTATAATTAAATTTTTTATTGTAGTGAATTAATACAAGTGTACTAGTAATTTGTACTACTTGTATTCTTTTATGCTTATCTTCTTTTGTTCTTTTTATGTTAAAGTTATATAAATTTTTATCATTTTTAATATTGATTAAAATTTTGAATATTTAATGTAGCATTCAGTATAGCATTAAAATCCAAACTAATATGAAATAATTTAGTGTGAGAATACCTGTACATTCCAACTTGTGTGTTGTTTTTAATTAAACCTTCCCGTCCTTATTGCAGAAAAGTAGTTAAAAATTGTAATCTTAAGAATTGTGTTATTCCAGATTTTTGTACATATATACATATACTGGTTGCTTATCTGCTGTCTGAAATTATGTTACTAGAAATGCTTTGGATTTTGGAATGTTTGAATATATAATTATATCTTTATGAAACCCAGATCTAGAAGTATAACTCACTTCAGGTGCCATGTATGTCTTATAGACATATTTGGAAGATAATTTTGCATTAAAAGCCATACTAACCGAAAAGCTCAAGTAATATCTTTGGAATATCTTTAAAGATTTAATTCCCCCCCCATAAAATCAAGCAAATAAGAGATTTGTACTTTCATCATTAAGCATGAATAAGAGTATGTTTCGAATCATACAAAAACTGCCACCAGACACTGATTTAGCATCAGTAATGGATAAGCATCATGTTATGTAATTATTATTATCACTTTGACATTTGACATGTAAGCTGCTGTTAGTTTCTATGAATCTTTTTTTTTTTTTTTTTTTTTTTTTTTTTTTTTCTGTTTTTTCATCTCATTTGGAAAAAAAAATGGTTAAAATTTAAGACTCACCTACAGCAGAACAGCATGCAGAACAGTGTTTTCAAAATTATGTGATCTTAGCATCAAGAGAAACCCAAGTTATGAGAAAATGGATCAATGCTGGCTATACAATATGAAAAATTGTAACATGCAATTTAAGTTTTTTTATATTATTATGTCTGTAACTTGTATGTTATCTAATTAATTTCTCCTTCAAACACCTGCCAGAATGACTGCCTCAAATGTGGCCCCATCTCCGCAAGTTTTCATGGTCAGCGGAATTTCGTAATCTGGTAAGATGTTTCCATCGGCATTTATATCTGAATGTTTTTTTTTTTTTTTTTTTTTTTTTTTTTTTTTAATCTTACATAATTTGAGTATGTTCAAGTTGATAACCAAATAAAACAACTCTTTTTATAATTAAACTGGAAATTGTTTCTTCCATTCATTTGGCTTTTCTGACATGAATTTAATTTTTTTATACGCTCAATTATCGGGAATTTGGCATTTCCTGAAAAATTGAGCTTTTATTCCAATATTTAAATAGTTTTGTTTAAGAAACACAGTTGTGCACGATGAAGACTCTGAAAGCAGAAGTATCATTATCTCAGAAACCTTAGGGTCACTTTGTGCTCATTTGTTATCATGATTATTCCTGTGTCAGAATTAATGCATTAACAGTAAGCAATGATTTTTCATATTTGTTTTCTGTTTAATTAACAGTAAAAATGTTGCATGTCCTAATACAATGAAGCTGTAACATTTTCAGCTCAATACAAAGTCGAAGATCCAAATTCATCGGGACTTCGATTCCAGATTTGGGTTTTTTTCGCATGTTAGAACATTAATTTAGTAGCATGGCATGTAGAAATTATAAAATTAAAAATAAGGAATAGTGGTTTATGGAAAAATAAAGCATTTATGACCTTGAAGGAATCAAAATTTAAAAGAGCCCCAAAAAAGCCGAGTATTTATTTGTTTGCTTTGTTAAACATTTCTCTCATTGTAAGTTGCTTGTTTTTGTGCTAATACTTTCTCTTTGATTTTATAGAAAGCATAATTTCTTATTCAGTTACAAAGTTCCATTGTTCATGCTCTGTAATTGCCACATCAAGAAATTTCTCAAAATTGCAAATCGAAATTTTTCGTTCTCAACAACCTCTCTGTCACTTCACTCACTATCGGTAGCGATATTTTCTGGATTTAGAACCATATTTCCGATTTCACCATCCGTTAGTTGATTGATTACTGGGGCATCATCATCTCTTTTATTATATCATCTTCATTTATCACCACTTCTAAATAAGAATAATAATACAAAAAATAAGAAAATAAGAAAAAAAAAATGTATAAAATGTCATGTGATAAAAGCAAAAAATAATAAAAAATGTTTTGATAAGTTGGTGTTTATGAAGATAAATTAAGAATCAGAACCCTTCGCATGTTTGTCATGAAAAAATATCAAATGCATAAACATTATTTAAAAAAAAATCTTGTAAAAAAGAAAAGTTGCTGGTGGTCCGGATGTTCGGATTTTATTAGCTCTTTCTGGATATTGGATTTCGGACTTAGCACTGTATTTTGTTACTCTTGGGCACTAGCTGACTAGTAGCTTAAGAGGTTGGAATGCCCCCACCCCCATTATGAAGATGAGCAAACTCCTTTATACAGCCTTTCTGTTGTAAAAGATTAGGTATGAAATTTTATTTTTGTTGTGTAATATTCAGCCTTTAAAATTTTTCATACTTCAGAGTATTTCAGATCAGGGGTGGAAACCAGTGTGTATATGTATTGTATGTATGTATATATGTGTGTGTTTATATATTCTATATTTTTTAATTCAGTGTAAGAATTCATTTGAATTAATATGTGTATTAATTTTTGATTAATTAATATTATAATTGATAGCACATTTTCACTTTTTTTATGTTTTTAATTATTTGTTTATGTTAAATATTTGCATTTGAAATTTTACTTTTATTGTTGAGACGTTGTTTGTGTAATTTTATGCATTGTAGTCTAAACCAAGTTAAATCTTTATAGTATATATTTTATTAATGTTGGTTGACTATGAAAGTATCAATTCTGTATTAATATTTTGGTAACATTTTACAAATAGTGTTCCCTTTTTTTTAACAAAAATTTTTCTTAAATTAAGTGTAATATTTTTTTACAATTTTTCTGTTTATAATGGCTTATTTTACTTTGAAAGGTAGAAATTACTGTCATGAAAACTTCACTATTTTTTAATTGAATATTTTTTACTTTGATTTGCATAAATGCAATTGTTGCAGGTATTTTTTCATATTAAAGTATATTTTCCTTTCGATAAAAACAATGAGGCAACATTATTTTCACAGAGATATTTTTTTCATTTCTTCCTATTCAATATTATGAAATCAGTTTCTTAACTTTTTTTAGATCAAAATATATTTGATATAACATTTTGCTAGTCTTACTGAATAGATTGTGTCACAATTTTAAACCATGTGTGAAGCTTTATTTAAGTTGTTTCTTTATGTATTTTATCTGTAGTTAAGGAAAATAAATTTCTAAAAAAAAATTCATAGTTCTGATTTGTTTGCTTGTTTAGAAAAATATGTAACATAGAAAAAATTTCTGTTTGTTTTGTTGCAAGTGGTTACCTTAATTATTATTTGTTATAAAACTATAATTGTGTTTAAACTGCTTCATCTTTCTTTGCCAACTTTTTCAAAATGTAACCTTGTATTGATTCAATATTTGCAGTCAAAATAATTGATTTAATGCTCGATATGGTTTTCCTGTAGTGTGAAAAAAATGTGTATGCTCATGGCGTTTTGCATACTCATCACATAAATAAAATTTAGTTCTTTGGAGCATAAATGCTCATGGTTGTTTTCCATTCCCTGTCTTTCATGGAAATTTCCGTAGTAAAAAGTTGTCCAAAGAGACAAAAATGATATTGGGTAAATAATTATGAAAACTTCCAACACACAAGTCATTTAATTTTTGCAGTATGTGACCTACTGTTATTTTAGAAAAGATAGTCTTTTATTTATTTTTTTGTTATTCTGTTGCGTTCGTTCTTTACTTTTCTTTGTTCATATGACTTTCCCGGTGCCATGCTTAAAACATGTAATCTGGAAAAAAGATGGATTTTTAATCAATTAGTATTAGTGGTTTAGCTTTCAACATTTTGTAGACAGCTTTTAATTAATTAAGGTTTGTACATAACTAAACAATCAATATAGGTCAGGAAGAACTTTTTTTTTCCCTTTTTATAACAATGAGCTACTGAATTGTGGTGTATTATTTCTGGTTTAGAAGAATTAGTTACTTGGATATGAGCCAACACATTGCTTTAAATGCTTTGATTAAATCCTCCTGAGGATGGTTATAGTTTAAGCAACATTTAAATTTTATGTTTCACACCAATGTTTGGTCTCCTTCCTTTGAATTTCTTATCCGTTGTTGTGGCATCATATTTAATCTTTACTTGATAAGTCATTTGAGTTCTACCTATTGTTTCTTTAATAAATGTACTGAAAATGCTCCTAGAGCTGTCGTCTGAAGAAAATTCGTGATCTGGGACTATTAATAATTATAATATTTGTTGTTTTCGAGAATGAGTTTTCTGTATGGTAGAAGGAATCGAAATTAAATTTTGATCCTAATCTTGTTTACCTCAAGACACAGATTAAAAATATGATCTGTGATTGTACGATTAAATATATCTTCCGTGCTATGTGGTTGCGAACCAAGAAGAGTTGTCTGAACCTTCTTCATGCTGAGGGCTGTACAAAGTCTTTTAAAAATAGATGATATTAAATTTATACTCTGATTATAGTGAACAAAAGAAGACATCATAAATTAGAATTCACTGACTGTTGAAAAGTTGTAATCAGGAAGGAAGTTAATCTCTGATGCTTAGGTAACTTATGACATGTTATGAAAATGTTTAGGTGTTATAATTTGCTTAACATGGTGTTTAGATATTGTTTAAAGCAATACCTTTGATGTTTGTAACCTCGTCAAAAAATCCTGTGTCCCAAAATGTATATATACCTGTCCCTTTCCGTAATCCATGAACATCGTAGGACTTACAGCATTTCTTCACATCTCTTTTAGCCTTATAGATTCGAATATGGCAGACTTTATGGAGTATCTTCATTAACATCCACCATGCAGAGAGGGAAGTAGGAATCTGAAATCTTGGTAACATTACCTGCCATCAAAAAACCTTTTTTTTTTTTTTTTTTTTTTTTTAGAGAGAATCTCATCTGCAATTAAGAATCTTCATTTGGAATTTACAATGTCATCATTTTTTTTAAATTATTTTATTTTTTAGCAATTTTGGGTAATTAAAATTGTTTGTTTTATTTTATTATTTATATTTTGATTTTTTAAATTTTTCAAAATTTTCTTTTTCTTTTTTTTTTTTGTATTTGATTATTTTTTAAAATTTTTTCAAAAGGTTTTTAATCTATTTTTATTGGATATTTTTTGCCCTTTTTTCTTTTTTTTTTTTTTGTTTTTTTAACTTGCTGTACAAGTAAAATTTGCCAATTGGAAGTTTTTTTTCATATTGTAAATCTGCATTGCAATTAATTTTCTTCAATTTCTTCTTTCTTTTTTCTTTTTTTTGTTTTTTTTTTTAACTTGCTGAAAAATCCTTTACAAGAGGTATTTGCATTTCAATTTCTCTAAAATAAGTTACATTTTTTCTTGAATTTTTTTTTAATGTACAGTGTGTGTGTGAAAATTTGCACCTGTTTTGTTGTTAATGACAAAATTATTTCCGACCTGGCCAATTGATTGTTTCTGTGGTCGTAGTTATGTTTATGTGGACAATTATTCCGAGCTATTGTTTATGTCAACGTAGAATGAAATATCATAGTACTGGTGGAAATATCTGAAGAAAGTTGCAGGGGGATCTTAACACAGTCTTTCAAGAAGAGCTCTTTCTTCTTTGCAGTCAAGAAAGCTGATGAGTAGTGGATTCAGTTCCACAAACGAAACACAGTTCATACACACTGACAGTCTGCCTTCATAAAATATTGTATGAAGAGTGGATTCTCAAAGTAAATTTATCAAATACTGCTTTAGCTGAGATATTTTTTAATATTAATCTTGTCGATTTGTATAATGTTTATATGTTGAAAAATAGCAAGTAATTTAAATTCTTCAAAAATTAAATATTAAAGTTTCGCACTCAAAATTTGCGTGATAACAATCAATCAATATGCTCTTATACCGAGCTGTCACTGTTTCCACGCGATGTTGCTGGCTCATTAACAGTTGCTTCAAGGGCGCATGACATGGAAACGTCCGGACTGGGTGAAAGGAAGTCGGAGTTAGGAAGAAGGGGGTGATCGACATCACAGGGCCGATGCCAGACGATGAAAGACTAGAGTGGTCGGAGATTGCAATCCTCACTTAAGATTTCATAGTCGAATACGTTAAAAGACTTGAGATGATGGCAGTCAAGCACTTTGCGGAAAAAATTTGTGTTTGTTCAATGTAAAAGCTATTGCACCGTCTCTAGCTTCAAATCCTTGTGGAGATGTAGAATGTGCGTTAGTAATGATTCTCATATATTTATTTTTCAGTATCTGCATTTTAGTCAGTTCTTTTTCTGAGACTGCCGCCCAGGCAGAGGAGGCGTATGAGAAAATTGGACGAATAATAGCGGTGTAGATTGTCTTTTTCTAAGCAGATCAATTTTAGAAGATTTTCCTATTAAAGTTAGTAATTGCGGTGAGAGTCTTGCTTCTAACTTTTTCCACATGATCTGTCCACGTAAATTTACTATTAATTACAATTCCTAGGTACGTAGCTTTACGAACAACTGGCCTTCCTGCGCCACAGATTTTTAGCTTGTAGTACTTTAGAGGAGTCTTTGATGTTTTTTCCCTTATAATAATTAGTTGCGACTTCTGCGCGTTAATAGCTATGCACCACTTTGCGCACCATTGTTCTAAGGCAGGTATTGCATTTTTAAATTTACTGATAGCGTGGTCGGCATTTAGTGACTTGACAGCTAGCGCCGTGTCGTCGGCATAGCAGCCCAGGAAGGAATTTATATCAGTGCAAATCCTCGGAAAGTCGACGACGTAGAATAAATATAAAATTGATCCTAGAATAGACCCTTGGGCTACTCCAGCATTTAATCTTTTGAATTCAGACTTGTAGTGACGAAACATTTTCTGTTCTTGATGAAAGAATAAATAAGCAGAATAAGGTTGGGGTTTAAATCTAGTGAAATGATCTTGAATATAAGATCATTTCACTAGATTTAAACCGCTTTCAACCGCGTCTCATGCCAGACGCGGTTGAAAGCTTTCGCCACGTCTAGTATGAGTAGGACAACGTTTTCATTGTTGTGAATGCTGCTCCAACGAACTTTGTTAATCTGATAAATTGTTTTATGGTGGAAAGTTTCTTTCGAAATCGAAATTGTTCGGGAGGCAGCTTCTCCATATAGAGCTCGATTCTCCTAAGTATAACGCGTTCAAAAATCTTTTCGAAACCAGAGAGGAGGCTGATGAGTCTGAACCGCTCCGGTTTTGTGACATTTTTTCCGACTTGGGTAATAGTATTACTTTCGCAGTTTTCCATCTGCTGGAAGAATAATTATTTTCTAAGCATGCGTTAAGATGCTTGTTAATCTCACAATTTTCAGTGGAAGTCTTTTGATTGCAACATTTGTCATGTCATCGTTAACCCGAAGCTTTCCTATTTTTCATTCTGAGAATGATTTCTGTAATTTCTCTGGGCGTAGTGTACTCAGTCTTATTTTTAACATTAATACTGCTGATCCAGTCTTTATTGAAATACCTTACGTCGTAGGAAACGGTGAGATCACAGGGGTCTAAGTTAGGAATGAATTGCTTTTCTAAGTGAGTAACCATAACTCCCTTTTCTTTATTAATCTGTGTGCGATATTATTACCGCCGTAGATGGCCTTATTACACTGCTGTTTGCGTTTGAGATTTCTAGCAAATGCCGAGAAGGAATTGTCAGGAATAGGAGATCTTTTCGTTTCATTTTTCTGTTCTGAAGGTACAGCTTTTTATTTCTCTATTTAATTAGTTTATTTATCTGTTTAATTTTCTCTATAATGAAGAGCAGCAACCTATCGGTGTTATGGTCCCACGGGATCGTCCTGATGGCAGATTTGTACGCGCTGAGGATGCTATTAGTCAGTTTGTCTGTTGCATAGTCGATGTTTCTGACGCTTTTCAAGTTTTCATAATCCGGGGGATTCTTGTATTATAGGTCATTATAGGCGTCCCAATTAGTGCATTTCTTGAATTTAGTATCACTACTTTTATTAGTACCCAGAGTAGCAATAAATAATAGGTGCATGATCCGAGGTCATCTCTACATTTACCTCAAGATACATCGGGATTGACGTGGTCGTGAAAATTATGTTCAGTATATCACCTCGCGTGGGGTTGTCAGGAATTTAGGTATATTCGGTGGGAACATAGAAATAAATGAGATGATTGTATTTAAATTCTAGGAGAATTTCACCATTGCTATTAGTCCTCCGACATCCCCATTCCGTGTTTTTGGCGTTGAGATCTCCAGCTAATATGATGTGCTTTTTGTTCGGAAGCAAGTTTGTCAAGATAATTTCATCCAAAGTATTTCGCGGTGGGTTGTACATTGCAATGGAGTAGACGACTCCGTACAATGGGAGCAAAACAGATACAGTTGCAGACTCATGCCCGTTTTTCCGATCCTCTTTGATAAGGCAGGATTGTAGTATGTTCTTCACGTAAATTGCGACCAGGGGAGTAGCTAGAGTTTCCAGCGCCCGGGGACAACTGAAGAATTTGCGCCCCTTTCTGTGTGCCAAGAATGGAAAACATTTAAATAAAAAATTTCGTAGCATCAATTTGGCGCCCTTTGGATGTTGCGCCCGGCGACAGATGTTCCCTCTTGCCCCACCCTAGCTACGCCACTGATTGCGACCCACCACCTCTGTGACTCAACCTGTGTCAGCGATAATTTCTATAGTTTGCGATTTTAATATTGGTGCTTGGACTTGCAAACGTTTCAGTAATAAGTGCGAATATCTATATCGTACGCTAGTAGAAAATGATTAAGTTCTTGGATTTTGTCATGCAAACTT